CCGAGAAAGTGATCGCGACTCATTTCACGTTAGTTTTTGCGCAAACCAGTCCCTCGAAAATCCGTCACGAAGTTTTTGATAATTAATTTATTAACGGAGGAAGTACAAAACAGCACATTGTATTGAGAAAAAAGGAGAAGAAAACACATGAGAACGAGTTATGCAGCGACTATCCACGACTGCAGCAAGATGATAAACAGTCAGAAAGTGCGATAATAGAGCACAAAACTGACAGGCTACTGAGACATTCAGCGACCTGAGACCTGCACTGTAGCTCTAACACATTTCTAACACATAACTGTTTATCATCTTGTTACAGTCGTGGATAGTTGCTGCATAACTCGTTCTCATGTGTTTTCTTCTCCTTTCTAAATTTATTACTGCCTCAATAGCCGATTTAAAATGTTTTGAGAGTGCTGTTTTATAGTTCAGTCGGCAGGCAGAGCATTGTTCACTATCGCTATGGAACTCGTATTGGTGGTATAAAGCTGTTAGATCCAAGAGCCGCTACATGGCAAGCTGCTAATAGCGAAGAATCAGGACTATTATGTGCTGCCGTTTAGCCCTTGGCGGATTATGCTGGCATGATATTTGGCATATTCTTCGGATTTTGTGTAGATAATTATGCCGTGGCATATAAGGACCTCTGAGACCAGACGGTCGACATGACCTTACCATACTGGCTTAAGATCATATTTTGGCATGTCACAGGAAAAAAAACCTAGTGAATGTTACCCCTTAGAAGCCATGGTGTCATGGTGCCAGAGTCGTTGTAACGTTGCGTAGTGCAACAAGAGTGCAAGGGCACAGTAAAGCAGCATCATTGGCATTATTCCAGCATCATATAGCATATATTGTAACTACTGGCACAATTTGGTCATAATGGAAAGCATAATTCAGCAATTTACCGCGCTGCATAGGAACAGCCGGATTCTGCTCGAAAAGGTGGCAGATTCTGCTCGAAAAGGTGGCAGATTCTGCTCGAAAAGCAGTGAAATTGCCAGAACCATACAATCCTTTTGGCGGGCAAGTCCTCGAATTCTGCTCCATTTCTTTATCCACATACCAAACATGCATGAAACGTAGCAGAAAAAATACCGAATTCTGCCAATTTTTCTGCCGGCAGAATCCGCCGGACCCTACGGTCCGCGCATAATCCGCCAAGGGCTAATGACGTTACATGAGGAGAGAAAGGAAGGAAAAAAACCCAGTTCTATTCGTGACTCTCTCAATTTTGTGTGGGGAGTTTTGGGGCTTTCATGTACATGACATTTTATCGCTCGTGGAGAGCTTCATACTTTAATACCAGGACCGTCACGCTGCTGCCCGCAGCGGCTGCTCAACGCCTAACTTCCATGGTTTCTACCGGGGAATTACTTGCATTGAGAATTTTTACATTTCTTGCGTTGAAAGTTGAAACATGCTGGTGGTGAACTAAGTAGGTTACTAGTCCATCAGCCAGTGGTGCCAAAGTGAGTCCCCTGTTGCACTTACAAATCGAACACCTGGAACTGACATCAATCGACAGCAAAAGCATCACTGAATCCGACCTGCCTACTTTCCCTGGCGAAACTCTTGCACTCCTTTTGCAGTGCGCCTTGGAAGTTCGACAAATTTCTTCTTCTTCATCAGCCATTACGAGGTTTTCCATCCGTTTTATCATGACATCCAATGCGTCTTCAGTGAAAAGCGTGGAGTTTTGTCAACGTTTGGTGTGGTTTTCCGTGGCGATCGACCTAGAATCGCGAAATAAATCGCCGTCGATTTGAGCAGAGGTGAGTTGGCTTGGAGCACGTACAGATTCAAAAAATATGTGTACATGCGCACCGGGAAGAAGATGAAGATGCTCACCATTTTCAAATAACTAATTCAAAAAACTACATGACTATTGTACTGCAATTGTTGTAGTTACTTGTTTGCAACTACAATGGTATCAAGTAGATAATCAAGCGAGGTACAGAGGGATTGATGGCTGATCAAAGCCCAAGGGACCAGCCCGAGGGCTTTGATCAGTCATCAAGCCCGACTGTACCTCGCTTGAATATGCTTCAGACGATCCCCAACAATTTTTTTGATTTTGAATTCAATCGCTTTATTCTTTGGGTGATCTCGAGTGTGGTAGATAGTACTTCGAAGTAGTACAACTGTAACTGTACTACTACCTGGTTGCAACATGTTCAAAGCAGCCTTGCCTTTATTTCAACTGTTTGCTGTCAGCATCCAGAGCCATGGCGTTTGCTAGTTGGTCGTAATGGAGAAGAGAACTGCAGGGCATTCACTCGATGTACAACATCCATCGCCGCAGATTCCTTACTTTTAGCTCTCCACGTTCCCTATTTTTCCAGGGATCAGGACCTTCCCGGGGTGATTCCATTCAGGGTGGAAGCGTAGATCACTTTTGCCAAACAGTAAACACTACGCTTCAAACCTGCTTGACATGACTCGGGGTGCATACTTCGGAAACCCGAAGGTGGATGATGTTCAATACTAGCTCATTGTAATCTTCCTGAAGGTATGTATTCGGATGCTCAAGTAAATAGAACAGTGAAAGAGATGTGTAATGAAACAACACTCTACAAGTAGGCGAACAACAATTTTATTGTAATTTGAATCCAGACACACGTGAAATACGGAAACTGCAATGGTTTACACTGCAAATCCTCTCGATTTGCAAGATTTTCCCGTAATTCACAAAAATCTGAAAGTTCATTCCTGAAACGCACATGGCACTGATTGGAGATTGGGTTTAGGTCACAATGGATGTCGATGAAATGCCAAAAATGGTCACTTTGTCGGCTTCCCCCTGCAGAGCGTGCAAGTCGTTTACTCTTTTTATTTGCGGATTCGGTGTACGGGGTACCTAAACTCCCCATTGAGGCCAAAATCAAGTATTCGATTTCTAAGTGTAACAGGGTGCTTGAATTTGACGACTTCTGAGTTCTTGGCTGATGGACTATACATGTACATGTACATTGTACTTTCGGCACGCGTGTGCGTCAAAGGCATGAGGGTGATGGGTGTCGCCCTTGAGTTCGGGATGGGTTCCGGCAGCGATGCAAATAATAACCTGACACCTACATGTACAGTGTTTGCATGTTGGAGGTTTTAAGGCTTTATGTGCCATACAGAGTCATGTTTATGCTGTCATCATGCTATACATTGAAACTTTCTATCCAATTCGTTGTGTATTTGGTTACAAACTTACATGCATTGCACATGGGCTCGTGAACAAGTCATTGGAGGCAAGGGATATCGAAACTTGTCTTTGCTGTCACGAAAGTTTCTGCTGGTACAAAACACGGCAGCACGCGCCCTAAGAGTTGACATTTCGCATCGACGAAGGTTGCGAAGACATTGACTTTGAGAATGGCCAGGCGGTGAGTGAGGGTTTTGCAATGCTTCTCTTCCGCATGTACATGTATATGTACATCAAAGTACAAAGCCGCATCGTTTGTTGACGATTGCGAGACGTGTTGAGGTCTCTCTAATAGTTGCGGCAGGACCTTACTAGGTGCAGATTTCAGGAGGGGCACACTACCCCCTCGGGTGATGTTCGGAGTATTTCGTTGGCTTTCTGTCCAATAACCCGTCGAATGGAAGATGCGGTTTTGTGCATGAACCTCTACATGGATGCCTCCGTAAAGAAGGGTACAGTGCCGACAAGGGTAAGAGTCGATCGTAATAATACCACTCACAAACATCAAGTAAGTTCAAAACTGGGTGCTCGAAACCAGCCAATACTGCAGTGTAAATGTATGTTGGTGTGCAGTGTGCAACTATTAGTACATGACGTATTACTTACTTTCGTACTGCACAAATACAGTCATGTAGATTTATATGGGTGAAAATTTGGAAAAAAGCAACTGCTTATCATTCTGCGTGGTGTAGCCAAAGACTACTCGAGTGCTGCTGTACAGGTTGAAGGTATGGTGATGTACACTGTCCATGTCCATGTCCACGTACGTGCAAAGCATAATGATTGCAGGATGTACTAGTAATACTCGTCTTCATCGCCATGTGTGACTGCAGTGTTCAACTAACTTCAGGTCTGAAGGAGTCCGTTGACCACGCTAGCTGCTATGGTTGAGCTAGAGCTAGTGGCCTCCCTAGAGCTAACTGCTATGCTAGAGCTTGCGCTAGATGCTGAGTGTAGTGTACGGTCTGCGGCTGGGCGAGTGGTTTTAGATTCTTATTGTTTTTGTCGCAACAAGTGATCCTGGAAGTGCACTAGTGACAAGTACTAAGTAGCAGAACGCGTAAGGTTTCAGGTCTGCGGTATTTCCCAAGGGTATTTCCCCGGGAGTTGGGACCAAGATGCTATGCAAAGACTGCTACTACATGATTGTACTGCTCCGACTAGTGATTTCCTGCACAAATCATGCTGTATGATCGTAAGTCATCTCAACACAAGACTCTCTCTCTGGCTAATCACCGACACGCCCCGCAAGTACAGTGATTTACATGTACCAGAGCTACCTACTGAACAGTGCGCCGCAACCAACAGACTGTTACTGCTGTGCAGACGTGTGGACTTGCCATGTGTGTGCTGTGCACATGTGCACAGTGCGAGCTGTGGCGCGGATGTTATCATGGTTATGGCCAGGAACTAGCTCAGGAAGAAAGGTCAAAGTGTAAACCTTGAAGCCTTGAAAACCCTTGTCTAAACCGAGCAGTCTTCAAAACCCTTGTCTAAACCGAAGCACAAATGAAAATTGAAAATCAAAGAAAATTGCTCCGGTATCGCGGGAACATGCTAACACGAGTCTCAGTAAAAAGAAGAAAAAAATCAGGATTTTGTTGTACTGATCGTGGCCGCCAGTCTAGAGTGTCGAGATCGTGAAAAGAAAATTATTTCAATGACTGTGAGTAGATCTACCGCAGTGAAATGAATGCCTGGGCCTTGCGCCTTGCGACTGAAGTAGATGCACATGTAGCTATGTAGGCTTGCACCTTCAAAGAGTTTGGAAAGACATTGCATGCAGTGTTATCATGGTTATCGGAATTCGCTGTTTCCGTGTAGCATGTATATAGCCTACACTAGTACAGCGCTAAAAGTAGGAGAGTTCTCTCGATTGCAGTCACTCCCAGCACTGTCCGTCGAGTACGGAAAGTATTTTGATCGAGAACTGATCGTCATTACACTGGCAGATCATCTACAAGACGTGAAATCCTACGCTTTCTCGTTAGGATTAACAAAGCCAAGTGTTGCTTTGGTGAGCAGTCGAGATGTGCCGCCTACGTGCGATCCAGGTTGTATCAGCTGTGATATTCTTTGCAGGTAAGCCGTAAGCATAGAGTTGTCTGGGCGCTGGGGCAAAGGTAGAGTTCTGTGTTTTGTCTGCAGAGAACAAATCTCCAAAGACGTAGATGCAAGAGGTTGGGAACGTGTGGTGCTGTGGTTGAAAATGTCGAGGTTCTTGACACTGCCTTGTCATGCTCGAGCTAAGTCCATTGCGATCTGACGTTGAGCTAGAGCTGAGGTCGTGAATGTGGAAACAATTTTTCCTACACTGCACCACTGTTCTTGACTGTAAAATACATTGTGTTGAACGTGTTGCAGCGGTGGGGTAGCTGCCGTTTATCTGTGTGTCGGACTGTGAACACGAGCCATTTGTGATGTTCAGTGCGGTTTACAATGCAAGGTGCAACATCAATCGCTATTGCAAGTCAAGCTGGTGCTGGTGCACCAAGTGCTAGTGTATGTCGAGCTACTAAATCCTCTTGTATGGGCAAAATGAATTGCACATACTAGTATCATCAAACAAATTCAACGAGTCGAATAGTTTACAAAGCGGCTGTCTATATTTTTTTTGATTTAACATCAATCACTGTTGTAAATCGGAGAGTTTGTACGTGTGTTATCCACTTAGTGTATCCCTAGACTTTACATAACAGTTTGTTTGAAGGAAGTAGCATTGCCCACACATTGACCCACACTGTATCTGTACGAGTGCATCTTGTGCTGGATTCTGTTGAACAGTGAGGCAGTGCTGCCTATGCTGCGTGCAATGGAATTTTCCCAGTACATGGGTCTAGTTGCACTGTTTACTGTGTCAGCCTGCTGTCATGTCAATTCAGTTCAGTTTGGGTTGCTGCCATTGAGCAGCAAATGCGAAGGCTAGCCGCGCTGGCCTGAAAATGCGACTTCAGACAAAGCTTACAGTACATTTCATTGTTACCTCCTTTCCTGGAGTCTTGGGACCGATTCGATGAATGCAACTTGTTGCGACGCGATACGCGATTTGCTACAGTTGCGAAAAGGATAAAACCTGTGGAGAGCTGTCCCGGACAGTCGCAAGGTACTTGTCGCAGAATTTGAAAGTAGTGTTGAAACGATCTCACCGGGTACTCGTTAGTTCGTTCGCCAGAAACTCGGCTCGTTTGTGCGGCCAGCTCGTTTGCAGTAACGAACACTGTACGCCGTACTCCGTACACATGGCGGTACATGTCGACAGGGGAGTCGTAACATATTTCACGACTCCCTGGTCGAGAGTCCAGTCCCACGCAATGTGAAAATAACGTGCAGTTACAGTGAATGTAGGTCTACAAGACACCGAGTTGTTTCAGTTGTCGTTGCAGCTTTGGTGGACCCCACTGATGTCTTGTTCTGCATCTGCTGATCTGTCGCAGGACATGCTTCTGTCAACTCTCCATTCGAGTGAAAGTTACGCGCAGTCGTTTGGAAGTTTTCTCCTGCGATGCAGCGAAGAACAGAGCTACTTGCAATCTTTGCAAAACGGTCTATTCTAGCAAAGGCTGCTGAACGATGGCGCTGAAACAACAGCTCGACACCAAACAGCAGTACGAAGCAAAGAAGCAGCAGCCCCAAATGCCGGCAGTGATAATTCGAACCAGCTGAATTCAAAAAACGAACTTAGAAAAAAATTTAAAAACATTTGCCACATTAATGAAACTCGTGAGCTCGCTTGATAGCTTGCTCGTTAGTGGAACTGTTCCCGCGTTTGTTATAGACATGCTCGTTTGAACACTAATTAAAAGTTCAACTTTTGTGACGCGCGACGTACATAACATGGAGTACAGTTTCTACCCTGGGTGCACGTGCAATGCACGTGCATAGTACTACTATTGCATGGGGAAGTCGCAAACACAAAAATGATTGTGAACCGTGTGTCGCTGTCGCAGCTCGTCAAGGATGTCGCAAGTCGCATGTCGTGTCGCCAAAAGTTGTATTGTGATTAAGCCGCACCGGAGTATAAGCTACACCGAGATCTTTTCAAGCCGTAAGGGCATCTGCCCTGGTCATCAACGTTGCTTTGTTTTGTATAAGCCGCATAGACTTTTTGGGTGAATTCCTGGTGTCTTAACAGTGCGGCTTACACACAGGAATATGCGTTCATGGGTCAAGTTCATAGACTTTTGCATGTGAATTAACATACATGTACTTTTGGGTCTGGATCTGGTTGTGTCTCTCCGGGTGCTCAGGTCTGATTGCCGAAACCAGTGGACAATGCATACCTCTTAAGAGGGGTAACTCAAGTCTGGTCGAAACACACGTGGGGAACCCAAACATCGAACTTCCAGAAGACGGCATAGCACCAGTTGTATTTCCAAACGGTTCAGCATGCGTACCACCTGGACTAGCCAGGTCCCCCTTCTTGTCGTCCCTCCTTTTCCCGATTTATGACGTAGGGACTCGGTCCCTGGTGGAGTGCCTGAAGTATCGCCTCAAGTTTTTGGTCGGTAAGCAACTATGCATGTGTGTGTGTGTGTGTGTGTGTATCTGTGTGTGTGTGTGTGTGTTCAAGCACGTAGGCGGGTCTTCAAGGGGGGGGGGGAAGGGGTGGTTGCGCAGGCAAAACTGAATACATGTATGTTCTTGAGTTATCATCAACCTTGTTCTAGTCACACTGATATTACTGTGCAAATCGTGCATAGTAATGAAACTATGGGTGATGGAGCCCCGTACAGTAGCCACGTTTCAGCAACTTCGTCACCTTTTCATGGTGCAGCATGGGACGAGAAGTTTACTTGGCCTTGATCCTGGTCACTCGGGAAAGATACAGTGGGCAAACAAAATCCACCGCCACACTTGGGTGAGTAATCTAGCCAGAGATACTCCAGTTGCCGCTGGCACTGGTGCCTGAATCTACTATTCCGATCATCCACCAGTTGCCATTGGCACAAGGTAGTTGGGACAGGTTCAGGCTCATGCTCTTGATCGATCTGCGAGGCCGAACTCTCTACATCCACGGGAATACCATGCAAGACATGTTCATTGTAAGCTTCTCGTCTGCGCTTCGAACGATTGAAAGAAACCTCTCAATGGACACCTGAACAGCAGGCTGCCGTTTCGAGTGAGAAGGCTGTGACTTTCCATGGAGAAACCTACAAAGAAAGCTCCCAAAGGGGAGGTCTGACCAACCACGGTCAGTTTATTTCCCCGACTGATCCTTTGAATTAGAAATTCTCCCAATCTTTTTGAAAATATTCACTTTATTTCACCTCCGGTAGTGCGTTCCAGAAACTGACCGTGGTTGGAGAAAGACCCAAGTGCCATCAGTATGTATGGCATATGTTGTGAGCTGCCTTTGGAGTAAAAAACTTGGCAGTGCCTTCTAGGTTCGGCCTGGACCCATAGCTCAGTTGGTTAGAGCATTGCTCATGAAAAGCAAGGTTCTGGGTTTGAGTCTGGGCGGGTCTGGCAATTTGTTTGGTCTTTTCAGGCAGTTCACTTCCCCGACTGATCCTTTGAAATCTGATGGCATACCAATCATTTCCCTATAGCCCGATTCAAGGTTTTTCTGGCCACGATTGCAAGGGCGTCCCTAAAGACAGGAACCCCTGAACTATACGCTGCTTGTCGGCTGCATATGCCACAACATGTCGTCAAAAGTACATAAACCAGAGTGTGCAACTGTGCATATCAGACCTGAAACAGTGCAGTTCGTGCACTACGTCACCCTGATGAGGTCAGACAGGCTGCGACTTGTGTGCAGCTCAAATGTTCGTGTTTCACAGTCCGGAAATCAGCCAATTTTGCATGATTTAGACGTCCTGTTTTAGGATTTCGGTGTTTTGTGTGACTGGTTACGCTGTGTACATGTGCTGGCAAGTGAATTCACAATGCTATCCGTTTCAAGAAACCGAAATCAGGACAAACCCACTGACCTTTCATCATATTGTGAGAGCCGTGGGCCAACAGCCCCGGTGAGAAGGCAGTCTTGCCTGTTCATATGGTGAAGTAAAATAAAGAAACAACAACAACAACCTGCACCACTGTGACTGGTTACACGACTTTTCACCGTACCTGTGGCTTACCATGCCATGAGAAATGACGTACGGTGCGAATTACGCTCCCACAGGAACCATCCCGAGTTGCACACTCTGGTTTATGTACTCTTGATATCGCGTGGAGTGGCAATGCTGTAATGGTGATTATAAATAAAAAATATAAAAATAAATTCGACGGGTTCGCGTACCGGGCAGGTCAAGAACAAGCAGTCGTACGACTCCCTGGTCAAGAACCACCTTTCCGCTTCCGTGGGACGCCACCATCCCATGATCAGGCGTCAGATGCGGCTCCTAAACGGTGGGGGAGGATAGATCAGATCCACCAACCAGAGGCCAAAGGCCTAAATCCCATTTGCCACATCCATGTATTACTCATGCCAGGCCACGAATGGTGATTATGATACTGGTAATGTAGGTTTGAGTCAACGATGGTGATGCAGTCGCAGTATTGTCTTTTTCGACGCACACCGAGCAGAGAAGTTCCCAGACTAAACAGAAATATACAGTGTGTGTGAAGGTTGAGTCTTTGTCGTTTAACTTTTACTCTAACTAATTTCTGGACAACAGGTACTGGAAATAGTACAGGTATTAAGATCAAGATCAGAAATATAAAAACCGGTAGGGCACTTTTTCATCGTAATAGTAATAATAACCTTGGCTCATCATCCAAGATCAGACTACACAGGCGTTCCATACAATTCCTGAGTTGCCTGTTTACGCCTCGTTGATGTCTTTTTTCGCATCTCCTATATGTTTGTCTGTGCTCCAGGATGGATTATTAGCCGGGTGAACTGCGACAGTTCTATCCCTGCTAATCTCAGCTTCACGCTGCCGACAACGTCTCCAGACACACGCACTCACGCATTTTCCAACACGAAACGGCCTAGCGATCCAACGGAACAGCCCTCCACAGCGCCACGACGAAATCAAAATAGTACGGCTTCGCCACCAAGTCCCATGTCGAATTCGTCTGGATCACCAGCGGGCTCAGCACAGCTAACAGTAGCTGGTAAGTCCACACCAGGATTAGGGAATTGATCAGCAAGTGCTCGTAAAGCAAGAGTAGAGTTTGCCCATCTGCGTTGCCCCTGGCGATTCTTGGGTGGCTGGAAACGCACAGCTTTCTCAACAACTTAGCAATGATACAGAAGATGGGCCTTGTCTGAAAATTCGAATGCTTATCTCATTTTCGCTTAGTGATTGTAGTGTGTGTGTAGCCCAGAGACTGAGCGTGTTGTGAAGATATACTGGTATTCTGCAAAAAAGGTTTGTAATTATTTGAACGTATGAGAAAAAGACCTTCCTAAGGGTGTGCAGAGTCCACTGTAGCCACTTCATGTTTCACACAGTTATACACCACCACTCAAAAACGGTCTCTTGGCTACAAATTCTTTCAAAAAGATGTGGGCCTGACCCAAAAATTTGGATTCTACTTCCTCCGCGTCATCGAAATTGTCGCAGTTTGACCAGTGATATAAAATGGGGTATTGTCTCAACAGAAGCGGTGCTACAGGTAAGGAATGAGACAGGATGATAGTCTCATGTCTAGAGTGACGGAACAATTTTATTTTTTGTCGATAGGAGGTGATCGCTTCGAGCTAGAGGCCGTGTCCTCCCTGACATCCCTGAAATTGTAGGCGGGCGAGGTGTGACAAGTCGAGCGGAACCGCCTGAACACAGCTATCGTATAATAGTCGTTTGCTCAATCGTCTTCATCTTTGTTTTTGCTGGATCAGGAGTGAGAATGAGTTCGCAAAAGAAGCCTAAGCGCTTGGAGCGCGTTGCAAGAAATTTGAGAGGTGAACAAACTCCATCCAAGAGCGACAAACCGAAAATGCCTCGCTTGAAAGGCGCAGATGTGAAAACGCCAGATCGCTGGCGAATCATTTCAACCTATCTGGAGATTTCGAAGGGCGCTGATAAACTGCCATATGGAGGGATGGGGAAGTTGAAGAAGCGGTTCCCTCACCTTCAACTTACGGTCCAACGGATATTCCAAAAGTACAAAGACCAAGTCGCTGACGAATCACTGGCAGGGAATGTGAGGATGACACGACGCAGAGCCAGTCTTTGCGGTGGGCAAAATATGAAGTTGACTGTTGAGCTGGCAACACAGCTCGTTGCTATCAATGACTCTAACTGGGGAAAGTATTCCTGCAAGAAGCTCGCAGGAGAGCTTGCCTCCGCGGGATATCCATGTTCACCTGCATCTGTGAGACGATGGTGTAAAGTTCTTGGTGCAGTTCGACGCAGGCGGCACATCAAACCGAAGCTCTCCACTCGCCATCGTCTGAATCGTCTCTCGTGGGTTCTGGACAGGTACACCAAGCGGTCGAGGAAATTCGTGGACTGTTTAGACATCGTCCATGGGGACGAAAAATGGTTTATCTAATGAAGGACGGAGCTGTGTGCAGAGTATTTCCTCAGTTCACTGTGAACGAATCGACTGGCGAAGTGGAGCGTACCGTACAAATGCCCGCAGACGGCTCTGTGTACCATAAATCACGTATGGCTTAAGTCATGTTTCTAGCTGCGACAGCTCGCCCGCGACCAGAGTATGGATTCGATGGCAAGATCGGGATCTGGCCCTTCACCCTGGAGCGCAAGGCGAAGCGCAGCGATGCACGTACAGGCACAGTGGCTGGTGAAACTGACATTCTCGAGAGTGTCACCGTGAATGCGGAGGAGTATCGCAAAGTGATGCTAAAAAAAGACGGCGTGCTGGACGCGATGCAAAGTAAGATGTGGTGGTGCAAGCGCGGATCGGGCAAGCCTGAGGCTGGAGATACACTGTACTACCAGCATGATGGAGCGCGCCCGCACACGGCGAAAGTCAACGAAGGTCATTGGGCTCGTCACGGGAAGAAAGGTGGATTCAAAATCGAAGTTGTTACGCAGTCTGCGCAATCACCCGACCTCAATTGTAACGATCTCGCCTTCTTCGCCAGCCTCCGGACGGACACCGAGTTGGTGGTGAAGAAGAACGTGAAGGACCTCGTCGAAGCTGTGAAGAGCGCATAGGAAGAGTATCCAGCGGAGCGCATGGATTCAGTTTGGCGTCTTCAAGGGTATCCTTTCTGACGATGGTGGGAATAATTATTCCCATCACACAGGGAGCCGTACTGCTCATGCTAAGTCGTCCAGAACAGGTGACAAGCATGACAGGTCCTTTCCTTTGGAGAAATTCAAAGCATGCGAGACCACGCGCGACCAACTTGCAGCCACCCTGTACGGAACGAAATTGTTTCGTCCTCGCTGATATCAGCGAGGACGACGCCTCCAGCTCGGCGTGATGCGCACCATCCGACGGAACATTGTCTTAGAACGTAACTGTAGACTTCAGACTATCACCCTGTGTAATAAATTACTGATTCTGTAGCTTCTGTCATGAGTAATATCAAGTTTCAATTCGCTAGCCAAACTGCGACAATTTCGATGACGCGGAGGAAGTATTATTTTTGGAAGAATTTGTAGGCAAGGGACCGTTTTTGAGTAGTGGTGTATAACTGTGTGAGTATGAGAAAAAGGCCTTCGTTATACAATAAAATGTCCAGTTCGGGATTCTCATGTGGTGAACATGTGGGGGGGGGGGGGGTGGGAGGTAACAGAATGGGTCTTTTTCCCTCTGCTTTGTGCGCTTTCCGCAAATCCGTGAAAGCAGCTCTATCATTTCTCCTACACAACACTTCTTCCTCTTCTCCCCTCTCCCATCCCATCACCCCCCCCCCCCCCCAAACACACACACGCACACACACACCTCCGACCGCTTTCTAGTTAGTGGTCTTTGACATGGATAGCATAATTGGCGTAATACGTTTTCCCTTTTTCCGTTTTTCCCCTCACATTGTGTCTGTGCTCTGCAGAAATCATAGGTATCGTCAGCGCCGGTTTATTCCTTGTGTGCGCCATATTCGCTATCGCTTACTGTGTGAAGGTGCATGTATGCAGGAGACCGGCAATGGCAATCAGTAAGTTATTACTTTGCAGTGAACCCCCTACCCCCACTCCACGCACACCAAGCATGCCTCGCAAATCACCACCACCACCAAGATCACCACCATGACCACTAGCAGCAGCAGCGCCACCACCATCACCACCACCACCATCGCAGCACATAATATTGGGTTGAAAAATAGACAAGAAAAAGGATCAAGAAACTATGAGTTACGCTATAATGTCCACTAACTCCACCAATTACTAAACAATCAGCTCATGCGATAACATTGCACGACACTGACCGACAGTACTGACGTAGTAATGTTATCGCATGAGCCGATTGTTTAGCAACTGGTGGAGTTAGTGGACAATATAGCGTGACTTGTAGTTCCTTGGTCTTTTTCATTTTTTTCTTGTGTTACCCTCAGCTCTCCATCCGAGTGGCTCTCCATCTGAGTCCATAATATTGAATCTTCAATATTAATCTTTTCTGGTGCAGTTCTCTGAAAGCTGGCTTATGACTCCATTAGTACTGTAATGTCTTTTGCTCCAAAGCAGTTTTCTTGAAGCCTCTATAGATGCTGATTAATTTTCTAGCTTGCTCATTGTCCACACATGATTATTTTGTTGCAGATGTAAATACAAGACAGTAAGTTGGTGCAGACATAACTACTTTGGCGTGCACATAACTACTTTGGCGTGCACATAACTACTTTGGCACAGAAATATTACTTTGTTGCAGGCATAACTACTCTGGTGCGCATATAACTACTTTGCCTGTACACATTCTCTTTCTACAGGTGAAAGGGATTCCAACAGACGTCCACTATCTGGTTGCTTAATGGTCTCTAGTCCTCATAGACACATCTCGATGCAGGACTTCAGGCTGCCGATCCAGGTCAGTAGAGTTTTACTGGACCGGTTTTTGCTGTGTATGTTGCGTGAGGGGCAGAGGGGATGTTTGACCTGGCTGTATGGGCTTGAACATGTATGTGTGTTTGTGTGTGTGTTTGTGTTTGCATGCGTGCGTGTGTGTGTGTGTGTACATGTGTGTATATGTGTTTGTGTGTTAGTTTGTGGGTGGGGGGGGGGGGTTTGTCTGGGTGTGCATGAGGACGTGTGCATGTGTACATGTATAATGTGTGTGTGTGTGTGTGCATGTGTGTGTATGTGTGTGTATATGTGCATGTGTGTGCATGTGACTGGCACCCTAGGCAATGTCGGTTTTGCTCCTGGGCTGTGCGTTGCATTAGCTCTTCTGGGCAGCGCCGATTATGCACACTTGCATGATGTCGCTGTAGTGCGTCGAGTTTGGGGTTAGCAAGTCAAGACCGTACTCGGGATCATGAATTACAAGTATATACTGAAATACAAATCTGCATTATCACCGGCTTGGGATTGTGTCGAGAAACACAAGCAGCAGGGGAGAAGTTTCGCTCGTGGTTTCAGATATGTTACACTGGGGAGCCAAGGATTAATTTATAATTTTTAAGAAGAAAAGAGGACCAAAGAGCTACAAGTAAAGCTATAAAGTCCACTAACGCCACCAGTTACTCTACAATCAGCTCATGCGATAACATTGCACAACACTGACCAATGGTACTGACGTTCTACACCTAACTGGCAATCAACTCCATCGCATTGAAGTGCATTGGAATGCGCATCCGAGATGTGCTAGAGTTGATTGCCAGTTAGGTGTAGAACGCCAGTACCATTGGTCGGTGTTGTGCAATGTTATCGCATCAGCTGATTGTAGAGTAACTGGTGGCGTTAGTGGATAATATAGCATAACTTGTAGCTCTTTGGTCCTCTAATTCTTCTTATAAAACATCAGATATGTTTGCTCATAATTATTCCATTATACCCACAAAGACACACATTGAATACCTTGGACAAATTCCGTTATGACTTGGGGTCACTAATGCTTACTGCCTCTGTGTATTCGATTATATCTTCTTCCTTTTCTTACTACCAATTTTAGGAAGGCGGCAATAGAGAGTCATCTGTGTAGTTGAAGCCCACTCTAAAGAAGAACAAGGCGGGTGAAGAAAACGGCTGCGGATCAACCTGATAGATTACGGGCTGCTTGCGTCAGAACCGGGCTGAGCAAGTACGCATGTAAAGTTGAATGTTGAATGCATGGGGCCAGAATGAGTTGCTGTCTGATGATTGACAAAACCATGAAACTCAAAGTTGTAACAGAAATGCTTTAGGTTCCTTCTTTCAAGTGTGTGTACTAGGCTCTGCACCTAGGTGTTTTGAGCACTATCGTCGTGAGACCAGAATATTTATGGATGTAAACACACCATGATCAATGAAGCTGCTGATACTCGACTGTACTCTTTCTTTGGCAATCTAGCTTAGACAAGATAATCGCTACCGGAGTTTATTTTCAGAAAACAGGTTGTTCTGTGTGAGTGTGTGTGTGCATGACTGTGTGTGTGTGTGAGTGTGTGTGTGTGTGTGTGTGTGTGTGTGTGTGTGTGTGTGTGTGCGTGCGCGCATGTGTGTGTGTGTGTGTGTGTGTGTGTATGTGTGTGTGTGTGTGAATGCACGTGCTTATGGCTTTGAAATACTGTTCATACGCCCACTTCCATGTTTACCTTACTCCTGAGCACAGCTGAACTTTTCTTAGCCTGACCTTGCAATTACAATACATGCAGTTGATAACAGCCATACCATCAAATCAGCTTTATTTAATTATGTTCATTTCTGTTCAGGATTTGTAACTGAGGTCAGAGTGACATCTTCCCCATTCACCGCCAGATCTGTGTATTTCCGGTGGCTTCCTTTGCTCAGTAAATTCAACTCACTGTAAAATGATACTTGCTCCACCATGCGCTCATGTTCGCCAATGCAATCTCTACATGCATTATTGACTGCTTTTATCTGTGTATTCTATTGCTTGGTTGTGATGTGGAATGCGTGTGCGAGTGTGTGTCGCCTGATAAGGAGTGCCTGCTTGAAAGATGAACACAGCTGCCAAGTGTGTTTTCTACAAGTGACAGTTGTTGCTGATGAGTGTGAGCTGTACCAAGGATTTCAGTCAGTGGTAGTGTGTGCGTGCTGGGCACTGATGAACAGTGGCAGTGTGTGCGTGCTGGGCACTGGTGAACAGCAGTAGTGTGTGCGTGCTGGGCACTGGTGAACAGTGGTAGTGTGTGCGTGCTGGGCACTGGTGAACAGTGGCAGTGTGTGCGTGCTGGGCACTGGTGAACAGTGGCAGTGTGTGCGTGCTGGGCACTGGTGAACAGTGGTAGTGTGTGCGTGCTGGGCATTGATGAACAGTGGTAGTGCGTGCGTGCTGGGCACTGGTGAACTGTGGCAGATTTGCTCTGTCACTGTGTACTCTACTACTGCACGAGTGGCTTCTGGTGTGGAGCTTGTGTTCCAATGGTGGCTGTTCTAGGCCAGCGGTCGCCTTAGCTGTTGGTATGGCTGCCTATCTACTCTACCCCTGGTGGCTGATGGTGGATGGGGGGGGGGGGGGGGTGATACTCAGGGTGGTTGATAACCACTCCGACCTGCGGATCATTATTTTAGTGCTTGTATTAGGTTGCGAACTGCATGTAGTGAAATGACCTTGGTTTTCTTACAGTCCAGTCCATTTCACCAAGAGTACAATCAGTCATGACAACCCCCCCCCCCCCCCGAGAGTGCGCAACTCGACTATGGGTGTTGTCCCGACAGAATGTCAAGTTGACGTCATTATTACAATGCAATGCGCAGATTATCAGACGAATCCGGAACCTGTCGTGGACCAAAGCCCATCCGATCCTGTACAAATTATTGCAAGGAATAACGTGTGATGCGTTGACACCCGTACACATGTTGTAAATCACTGGTGCAAAGAGCATTGCATCATAACAACGACGTCAACTTGAAATTCTGTCCGGACAGCAGGGTCTGTGGGAGTTGCACACTCTTGGTGTGGGGGGGGGGAGGGCATGTACTCTTGGTTTCACGCATCCCTAACAACAGGTGTACTACTTGTCGAGCGCGCCATAGTCTACTTTTCCAGTACAATAACTGTGATTTCAGAGGTCGATTTCATTCGTGTCCCGATGAAATTCAATGTATTTTTTCCTTGTTTTATGAGCTTTCTGGGAAAATCAGGCTTGAGATGTATTTGCTGGCACACCGAAACTACTTAATCTGTGTTGAATTTGGTTAGTTATAGGATGCAACAAATCAAACAGAAGTCTTGCGAAAAGGTGCCATGGTGGTGAGTCAGGGGAATCACGTTTGTGCACTGTGTCCACAGCGTGAGTCAGGGCACCTGCTTGTGGGGCACAATGTATGCAGGGTGAATCACCCCTGCAGCAATGATCATGCATGTGCTGAGAGCCGGAGACTGTGCCAAAAGCACCTCACCTGATTATGTAATCGCACAACCTCCATTGATCACCGTGCCATTCTCATCTTTTTAACTGTTTAAAAAAATTAAAAAGTGCCAAAAATGAAGTCTACAGAGAAGAAAAGAATGTTATCGCATGAGATGATTGTTTTAAAAGTAACTCGCGGTGTTAGTGAACATTTTAGCGTAACGTGTAATTCTTGTGTCCTTTTCTTTTCCATAAAATTAATGTATCCTTGGCTCTGGATCCTCCGACATAATGATGTCTTGGACATTCAAGGTAATAGTATAGAAATTGAACAGCGGTTCTAGGGGATAAATAGGCCTCGGAAATAGCTCAGCTAAAGGAATCGCAAACTTGAAAACAACAAATCCTCCTTGAACATGTTTTGGCCACACCACGAGTGGCCTGCTGGATGAATGATGGGTCAGACAAATACGATTGATTCACACAATTATACCATGCAAATAATAGCTATCAATCTGCACACGCATACACAAGCTTATCAATACACACACCAGGCTGGAACACTCTATCACATTCATACTAATGCAGTTACCAAGCTGTTGTCTGTCGTCAACTCAATTGCCAGGCAGCGTATGTCCTCGATCAAGTATTTATGGAGGAGTGTTGATGTGGCACGGCAGTTCCACAGCAGAAGAAGGCGATCGTGCCACAGCCAGCTCACTACTGTGTTGCTGATTGCTGCTTTCATCGTAAACACCATGTAATCGCCGATTCGCCAAGGCAACATGTGGATTGTGCTGAGGAACATCCCGATGAAGATCACGTGTCTCACTTGATGGCTGGACACTTTCTGAAGAAGATCAGAGAAATAAAGAAGAAATAGCAACGACCAGAATTAGAAATCGTGCAGCCCTCCATAAAAACTATGATTATAATTATTATGTACACAATTGGTTCAGAAGCCCAGAACCACAGTCCAGTGAACAGTTGCTACATGGGCAGCATGAATGAAGTACGAGTGCGGCACTGTAGCACTATTCCATTAAATTTAATAATGTTTTTACCTTTAGCACTCGTAAAGAAAGAGTTGGCTTCTGTTGTGTTCGTGGCTGGCTTCCTAGCTGCAACAGTGAGCAAACGCAATAGACACGAACATTTCAGAAATCCAGGAACATGACGATTATGATTGCTTTAAGCACTATGATGCTGAATAGATATACATCGTATTTCACACACCCAGCCCAATATTCCAAAGCATCGCCTACATGTACACGTACATGTACATATATGTGCTTATGCACGGCTCGGTGATCCGAAACATGGACATTGTGTTCCGATTCATGGATGTATCGTTCCATTTTTGATTTGATTGAGGATCTATGGCTTCCTGTTTCTTGCAGTACATGACTGTTTGTCTAAGCTGAGTTCAACTATACAATCTTTTCAACACTAACATTGTACTTTTCAAGATGATGTAAAATTCATCCAGGTAAGGATCCATGCATAAAGTGGCGATAACTCACACGCCTTTATTGAGTGTAATTCTCGTTTTTCAAAAAACTTCTTCAACGAAGTAAAATTAATAATGATAGACTTGGATTGAGAGTCAATGATTAATTTATAGTACTGTCCATCAGTTTTGTGCAATGTTATCGCATGAGCTGATTGTCAAATACTTTGAAACAACTGGTCATGTTATGAATTTGATTGTTTGGTCTTGTTAGTGGACATTATAGCGTTACCTGTACTTCCTTAATCCTTTTACTTTACTATGACTAATGATAGTTGATCTCTTTGAAGGAATCCTCAGAGTTGTGTTAACTTTTGTGTATGGCTCTTTTTTCACATAGTTTGAAATAATTATAGTACTATAATTATAGCCTTCGAATGCGAATTGATGGGCACTAAAGAAATATTATGAAATTGTTGTAATCGCTTTTTCGTCAGGTGGTCTTTACGAACCATAAGTAATCGATCTCAATCTTTGTTACTTATAATCATGCATATCCATACTATTTGCAGCAGGTTGCCTTGTTTAGAATATACTGTAATTTCACAAATTTTCCTTGTACTTTTATTTTCGGTACTTTCGGTGCGTCTGTTTCACACCTAAAATTTCAATACACCGAACAAACATAAACACACATAATCCAATAGGGAACTGCTTCTAGGAGTCTGAAATGAAATTATCTGCTGGCAGCATCCACACATCCACGGCGTAGATCAGTATGTGGATGCTTACCCTCAGGTGAGAGATTTGTACTGGTACGATTGGCCAGCCATGGTTGGGAATGGTCCGGAGAGGTACGGCATGATACTGTTACAGAGCACAAACCGAAGACACAACACGAAACCTGCCAAATTAATCATATGAAGCTATGAGGAATAACTACAATGACTCGGTCCAAGTGCGGTGTCATAAAAGCATTATTGGCGCACAGGAGTAACAATGATTCCGAGACCTTTGGTCGGAGGAGTTACTTTTGCCCCGCCCCCACTTCCATCCAATATGCCACCGCCCCCTCTGTGCAGCATCTGATGGTACTGTGGTATTCAGTAAAAAAAAAATCCTAAATAACATAATATTTTCAATAGTGTTCAGCACTTCAACATACTGATGAAACTGGAATAAGAGACTACTAGTATAAAATAGTAATCATGACATCTACATTGTATACAATGACGGTCCTTCCTGAAAACATGCTGGAAGTCAAAGATAATCCAAGTTCTAGTTCAATAGTAGCTGCACCGTAACATTTCTCAAATTTCTTCGGCTTTCATACATGAGTGTCCGACATTGCCCTAATGGAGGAATTCTTTCAACTCAGACACGCCAAGAAAAGCACAACAAACCATACCAGAACTTGAATTGCTTGACACACTATATTGTGCCGAATGCGGTGGACTACGGGCTTCCTGATCATAAGGCGCTGCAGGGCACAGATAATGCATGCAGTTAATTGAGTCAGATTTTTGGTTGTGTGAATTCATTTGACATGAAAGTCTCATGCATAACCTCAACCTGTCCGACATTGCCCTAATGGAGGAATTCTTTCAACTCAGACACGCCAAGAAAAGCACAACAAACCATACCAGAACTTGAATTGCTGGACACACTATATTGTGCCGAATGCGGTGGACTACGGGCTTCCTGATCATAAGGCGCTGCAGGGCACAGATAATGCATGCAGTCAATTGAGTCAGATTTTTGGTTGTGTGAATTCATTTGACATGAAAGTCTCATGCATAACCTCAACCTCATAGCCAAACTCTTCGCATGAAGCTTTTAGCGGGTATATGAGTGAGATCTTGCGGAGGTAAGCAGACCGCCCCCTCCCCCCCCCCCTCCCGGCAATATTATATTACAATGACTGATCACCGTATTTCCTCGATTAATGGTCCATGCTCGAATAATAGACCATGCTCAAATAGTAGACCCTCCTAGAGGCCTCACGGAAAAATAGTAGACCATGCCCGAATAAGAGACCCGGTCTCTTATTTGAGTTCATCGCTTTGCGCATGCACACTAAGAAAGCACGTGGTGGATCAAAAAAGGACGCGATTTTCGGTTGCGCAACTACAATTTTTGTAGTGGCTAGTGCTTTCTTTCATTATTTGAGCATGGTCCACTATCTTTTCATCGGCACATCGCTGGAAATGGTGGATTTTTAATAGAACTTATTATGACGTGTTAAAAATCCACCATTTCCAGCGATCGGCCGATGAAAATATAGTGGACCGTGCTGAAATAATGGACTATGCCCAAATAAGAGACCGGGGGTCCAACCCTCTTCAAAAAACAATAGACCGGGTCTATTAATCGAGGAAATACGGTATGTTTTCAAATCACCACTATCATAACTATCTCAACCGTGAAATGGAAGTATCCTATACTCGAAACTATCCTGACCAGCTAGTCCCCTCATCATCATTATTGCAGTCCCGTACTGGATTGCAAGAGAATGCGGGAACTTCACTTCGGTTTTGAATCCGGTTTCCACACTGCCTTTCGCAGAATGCAATGCCGCCTTCCTGGGATGGAGGTTTTGACTCCCTCTGTCTTTCATACTGCAGGGGAAACTTGCTGGGCTTGTCGCGATGTAGTGTACTTGCTGTGATTGGCATGACATCGCTTGTCCTCCTGGTACGAAATGCGGAAGGCTATAGTATAATAACTGTAACTATTGGCTGCTAAAGGGTGCCCGATACCCCGCCGGTTAATTAAGCCTCATATCCGTTTGTAAACTTAACCCTCATTCCGGGCAACCGTTTCACTCCTAGTGGAAAGGCAGCTTTTAAGGCCAATTCTATACATGTGGGTGTGTGGGTCAGCCAAAAAAAGGAAATGGAATCTAGAAGTTGGTGTTTGAACAGGCTGCGAGGTGACAACAGTTTTAAGGTAGCAGCCTGGTCCTAAATTTCATATGGCATTCAATTGACCGTAACTTTGCTGTCTCTCAATGGATTAGAGTGAAATTTGCACCACGCACTCTTGCCAATATGCTGGCCCTCTGGACATGATTTAAAAGTTCTTGCGCCTCACTGACAGGCTTTACAGGCCGGAAAAACTCAAAATTCCGGCATAGTGCCACGGTTGGCAAGCCACTCAGGAGCCAAACAAATACATTTACATTTTCCAAATTTTCTAGCTAATTCTGTCCGTGCTCAGGATTCAAACCTAAAACAACGTCCAGAAGCAGCCATGGTCGGTGGGATAGGGCCCTTCAACGTGGCCCTGGAATCTGTCACAACGGCAGGAGTGGGCGTTCCGTCACAGACTCCCACAGACCCAAGTCAAATTTTGATTTTTTTTAGGTTCAGGGCGTGCTACGAGGTCGTACCTTTGATACAACATCCAGTGCTGGGACCTCCACAGCAAGCCATTTCCACAGCGCTTCAAACCGAATCCAGGATACCCTCCAAAATCGGCAAAGACTACCACTCACGTTCCAGCACTGCCTGGTACTGAATCCTACCTGACTTCTTGACACGACTCAAACTTGCCAAAGTCACTAAATCAACTTCAACTACAATAATCAAGCCACATATCTGCAATGTCACGAGGGTGTTGGCAAAAGTCCTGCTGCACAGCGGCGGGCGAAGCCCGCCGCCGTGCAGCCCAATGCGTGTTTTTTTAACGTGATTTGTTGGACCTTTTTGGACTTGGAGCAAAATTCTGCACACTTTCGCGTGTTTTCATGATGCGACAAGTTGCGCATTGTCTGCTCACATTCAAATACAGTGCTACCAACAAATGACAGCGCGCAACAAAAAAATCTTTCCTTGCAAGGGCACATTTTCGGCCATAACTCTTGAACGGCTGGTCAGATCGGGACACAATTTTCAGAGAATTTGCAGCTATTCAAGCTCTTTCAACTGACGTAGCACTCAATATGAATTTACAAATTCGATTTTTCAGCGAATTTTGGGTAGTCTGCCACCTTAATGAAAAAACTTCGTGTGTCTATAATAGCTGTAGCTGAGTGATTATACATGACTATAATGTACATGTGTATGTGTGTGTGTATGTATGTGTGTATGTATGTGTGTGTGTGTGTATGTGTGTGTGTATGTGTGTGTATGTGTGTGTGTATGTGTGTGTGTGTATGTGTGTGTGTATGTGTGTGTGTCTGTGTGTGTGTGTGTGTGTGTGTATGTGTGTGTGTGTATGTGTGTGTGTATGTGTGTGTGTGTGTGTATGTGTGTGTGTATGTGTGTGTGTATGTGTGTGTATGCGTGTGTGTGTGTGTGTGTGTATGTGTGTGTGTGTGTGTGTGTATGTGTGTGTCTGTGTGTGTGTGTGTTTTTTATATCTGTGTGTGTGTGTATGTTGACATTCGCTATCATTGCGTATGCAATGGGCAAATTCAAGGTCAAGGTCAAGGTATGTTGTTGTTGTGTTGTGTGTGCGTATGTATGGGTGTGGGGGGGGGGGGGGAGGGGGTACATGTACTTGTTTGGGGTTGGGGCTATGTGTGTGTGTGGGGGGGGGGGGGTATGTGTGTGTGCGGGGGGGGGGGGGGTATGTGTGTATGCGGGGAGGGGGGGGGGGTAATGTGTTTGGGTGTATGTGGATGTTGGGGCATGGGGGAGTGTGGCAATGAGTACCTATGGGGGTCCAGAAAAGGGCACGAGGGAAGGAAAGATGCAGTGAATGGAATGTACAGTGCAATCTACTCCCATTGCATCTCTTTTTTTGCAGGTCACGTGCTTGACGATGGTGGTGTTCTTACAGAAGCGGAAAATCAAGTCCAACTGAGTCTCAAATGAACCGTGAATTTATTTGATTCAAGCGAATGTAGAAACTTAGCTTGAATTTAAACAAAACATTCTTGTCTTCACAGGCCGGGATGCATGATGCAGCGTCAAAGCTACAGGTCTCTACACTGAGAGCCAGTGTGAGCACACATGCAATTTGGAAGTGTCTGGTATTCACTCCAGTTTACCACTTACTTTCTGGAGGAGCTTTCTGTTCCGTCTCTTCTACGTTCCTTTGAGGATGCACAACGTGAAGAATGCAAAGGACGGAGCACACTATGCAGGCAATGCTCGACATAATGATGAGGGCGATAAAACCTGTACGAGCGGTGGACGCAATAAACAAGAGGGTCAATCAGCATACGAAGAAACAACTCTTGGCGGATGATGACCACGCTGGCAGAAGATCATTTGGTAATTGCCAGGTACATGTATGTTTCATACAATCGTCATGTTTGATATACACTGTGGGGATGAAGAAGTGAAGCGGAATTCAAGGAAGATACTGCCATTGTGTTCTGCCAATTTCACTGCTTTTGGAGCAGAATCTGCGGACCCAATGTTGGGTGGTAAAATCAAGAGTCCTCCAGAAAATGTCATTTATTGGCAATACTATGCTGTATCCGGCAGTGTAATTATTTATGCGGCATGGCGTTAATTAACCTACTGTGATTTTAAAATCAGCCTTGCACCAGTTGAAAGGGGCCAATTGTCGTCAGGTGGAGTTTGACAACAGCATTATGCAATTACCTGCATGTAGAATCAAGCAAAGCCACGCAGGGTGCTGTGCAAATGTACTGGTTCAGGAAACAAACCCGACTTACAAGGTCGGATGTCCATAACTGGCACGGTACATGCACATGCCTTTCAGCATTGCCAAATTCCAGCATAAAACAATTACTTTCGTTGCTAATAACGTTACTATCATCTACCTGTACCTTTAGGGATGCCTGTAGTATACGAATCTTGTCCTTTAGTCGATGCCGACGTTATTCCTGGGGCTGTAGCTAGGATGGTGGTTGCTTTAGTGGCTTCGCTACTGGCGGTGAGCCGGTCCACGTTCGTAGTGGAAGCGGGCTTGGACAGCACAGGGGTTGCAACTTGAGGCGCTGTGGTTACACTTGAAGGCACAGTGGGTGAAAAAGGAGTAGTGCGAATGGGAGGCACGCTGATCTTTGTCCGTTGAGCAGGGGGGGTGGTGGGCAAAGGGGGGCAGCCGCCATTCGTAACGATATCGCAGATACCTGAAAGCAGAAAGTAATAATAAGCAAGAGCGGTTCATACGAGAAGTACATGAGTTTAATAGTAATGCTATAGAGAAGGGAGCAGGGATAGAGAGAGAGAGGGGGGGGGGGGGGCGTTTCCTGTCCTTCACAGTTCAAGCATGGTAAAACCTCTGTGACCACTCTGATTAGCCCTTGGCGAACTATGCTGGCATATCTTCTGGCTTAATCTTCGAAATTTGTCTAAATATTATGCCCTGGCATAAAGGACTTCTGAGACCAAAGAGTCGGCATAACCTTACGATGTTGGCTGAAGATTAATGCTCCAGGCATAGCCATAATACATGTATTTAGGCATGCTACAGGAAATAACCTGGTGAATATTACCCCCTATAAGCAGTGCTGTCATGGTGCCAGAGTCGTTGTAACGTTGCGTAATGCAACAAGAGTGCAAGGGCACAGTATAGCAGCATCATTGGCACTATTCCAGCATCATATAGCATTCATTGTAACTACTGGCACAATTTGGTCATAATGGAAAGCATAAATAATTCAGCAATTTACCGAGCATAATCCGCCAAGGGCTGTTTTGTACTGAGCTTACCATACCCTTATTTTAATTGGACAGCAGCATTATATTATAGCACCATCACTGGCCTAATTCCAGCATAATGTAGCATAATCACTGGCGTAATTAATTATTTGGGCATAATGGAAAGCATAATCCAGCAATTTACCGATCACAACCCGCCAAAGGCTAACTCTTATTAGGCGACAACCTCTACTAGAGAACCAATCAACTAGTACCCATGATCTACATGTACATGTACATGTAGGAGCGAAGGTTGTTTTCTCCTGTCAAATGACCCTGTATAAGGATAATTGTCACCTGGACGCTGTGACCACATTTTTAGGGTGCCTTGAGTGCATGGTCGGCCTACGCAACTTACTACGCAGTTTCACTGAAAACAAAATTAGAGTTTTACACTGTTTTTTCCCTGTCTGGGTGCGAGTGTACCGGAAATCTGCCGATACGATTGGAATGATTGCTATCCCCACTACACTGGACTGTGTCGCGTGGTTCAGGACTTTCGACTACAAGTACAAGTACAAGTGCTGTACAGTGTTTTATGCCCTGTACAGTGCAGTACTACATGGATGTTCTAGTTGAGTCGATCAAATCATCAAGAACCTGGCTGAAAAACGTACTGATACCTGGCTGAAAGACGTACTGATAGCAGCTGTCGCAGGTTGGAGTTGAATAAGGTCAAAGGCATGATGGCCCAAGTCCAATAAAGGTACTGGAAAAAATTCCCAGTCCAGTAAAGTATACAGGCTTATTACTTTCGTGCTCAAGTAGGGGTTGTCGACATTCCCCCAGTTTGTCTCTAATGAAAATGATCCATTCAGAATCTGGCCACAGAGTGACAAAGGCAGCGTTGAATCGACTGGAGCACTACATTTATGATGACCAGCGCTTCGGCCAAGTGGTTGCAGGCTTGCCAGCGAATCACAAGGTCCCGAGTTCGAGACCCGCGCTGGGAGCGTGTACTGTGCTAGCACAATGTCAATGCGGTGATGCATGCGTGAACCACTGTACTGTACATGCCAGGAACTGCGCTGACACCCAACGTCAACTGGGTACATGTATACACACTACTCACTACTCGGAGTGAGGATGGAAGGACCAGGAAGCAGCCACATGATTGTACATGACTGTACGACTACAAGTACGAGGTTCGCCACCTTGTCGAGCATGCCATTGGCTGTCAAAGTTACCACCTCACCCTCACCTTTACGCGCTGCATCTGCCACCCTGGTATTACATAATAACAGGCATGGTGGTGGCGTGGCACGAGCTAAACTTCCTCAGCAGCCACGGTGCACCGGTGGTGGCCTGACGCGAGCGAAACCTGCTCATGAGCTTGTTGAGTTTCTCAACGTACATGTATAACACCAACGAGTACGATTTCTTGCGAAGCTTAAACTACTGTTGACGTTTTGTGTTCAATTTTACATTTCAATGGAGTGTTCTAATTATTTCCGATTTTGGGTTGTCTTTTTGCTTTGACTCTTGCTTCATGGTTTCACGCGAATAGTGTTGTGGATAAACCCGTTCTCAAAAGTAGAGAGGATGCAGTAGTGACCAATTGATAGTAGTTAAAAATGTAAATGCATGTTGTTGGAGGATCACTTCATCTTTCCATTGTACATTCTTCATTATAGTGATACGAAGAATATTTGAATCATTCGAATTTTTTTAGAATACCGGCTCCAGAAAGAATATTCGAATGTAGACAGCATGTGACGGGAATGGTCTTAGAGACTGCTTCCCCCATTCCTGTTGACCTTCCAATCACATAATCACTTACACTCTTTCTGCATGCTCTGTATGGTGATCCCCAAATTACTTATTATTATTCATGCATAATGGACAACTATTTCTCTACACACATCCTTATTCTACCTCCGACACCGTACTCTGAACACAGCAGGGAGTCGAATATGACTCCCTGCATTTATTCTGAAATATGAAGCTGGCCACGACGAGGGTTTTCCCTCAGCTCTTGGTTAGTCCAGAAGGAGTAAGTTCGATGTGTCGACTGGAGCTGCTAGTAAATTAGTATGCTTACTGTTACACAGCAACATTGGATATTCGAAAAATTCGCACTTTATGATTGTGTGGTTTAGTTCCAACCTTTACATGTACATATACTGTATCTCCTGACCCCGTGAGCCGTGTTGTGGATGATAGTGTAGAAATTAGGTTCCGAGAACTGTGAAGCTTGTTCTTACATGTATATGAACAAGTGTAGGTCGAATCTGCTCTTTAACTTAACCGGTGGGTATTGCCTATCAACATTATCTGTATGCAACATGAATGGTTGGTCTAATTGAGTGAAGTGATCGAATATTCCAGAGAATATTCTTTGGAAGAAAACAGAATTGGTTGCATCACCACTACATTACTGTGCAGTGTTGGACTGAAGCCAAGGACGAGAGGCGATCATGGCGTGATGGCACAAGTCCAACAAAACATACACTACAAGTCATGTACATGTACATGTAGGTACTAGAACACATTCACTATCCAGTGTGTGTGTGTGTGTGTGTGTGTGTGGTGGTAGGGGTCATTCCATCTGCCCCACTTTCATGCTCAAGTGGGGAATTGTGGAAATTCCCCCGCGTCGTATTCAATCAAAAAAGCACTTGATCTATTCAGACTCTGGCCCCAGAGGCCGCGTTGAGTCGACTGGAGAATGTAACAATGTAAGTACATGTACAATGTAGCAGTTTGGAAGACACCAACAATTACATGATCAGAAGACCTAGACAGCACAATGTAGATAGGCGACTCAGACAGAGTACAGTGAGTAGTTGACCAGGTGGCTCTACATTAGTACATAAGCAATGCGCGCAGCAGTGCTACTGTACTGAAAGGCAGAAGCCTGAGCCTCTGCAACCAGTGCTTTGGCACGCACAGGGACATGCATCGAGCTTTTGTACGACAACGTATGTAGTGTAATAGCAAGTCCTAAACTGCCTCGCATTCTTATACAGGACGAATGTGCTTGGAAAATCGTTGGCAGAGATATAAGACAATAACTATTACCCTTCTACATACATGTACACACACATGTACATGTATGCATCGCCTAATTGCACACTAGAAGGACCGAATATTCCCGAAGCTTTACTCTTCTATTAGACTCCATAATACATGTATAGGCTGCACAGACAAAACACTGAGGAGCTGGGAAAAGTCAACCTTCCGCCCGATTGGCACGCACACACATACACACACGCACACACACACACGCACACGCGCGCACGCACACACAACACCTACAGTGTACAGTGTAGGTATGCCCGCATAGTCCTGTTCCATTGTAGTCTATAGTCAGTCTGCAGTTTCTACTACACGCTGGCATAGTTGTAGTAGCGCATCCTTCCCATACATGACAGCAGGAACTTGCCAGGAAGGCATTCTCCCTCTCTTGTCTATACGCAGCTTGTTGTGAAACACTCAGGAATGTTTGTAGAAGTGTTTGATAATTTTTTTTGAACCGTACACCGAACAACACATTTGATCAGCTAGCGTGTGTTGAAGAAGAAAATGAGCGGAAATGTACTACGCTGTGAAACACGCATGAGGCATGCATGATCAGGGCAAATGACAGCTGAAAAGTGTTTGATGATACCCCTTGGCTTGGATTGCTTTCTGCGTACTAGTACTACTACTAGTACTTGTAGCAGTCATGTACAAGTACACGCACCCTGGTCACTGCCACTGGTCAGTACAATCCGCGTTGTACTTTCTGTGTGGACGTGAACACAATCATGACATTGACATTGTGTAGTCAAGTAAATCGACTGCAGTTTATTATACTTCATAGGAACGAACCACATGGACTTGAGCACGGACAGTTTGAGCATGAACGTCGCTCAAATGGTACCACAAAGTGATGATGGCTGGGTGGATTCGCAATGTCCTCCTCCACTTGACATGACTTGTTCATATCGTTGTCGTGTAGGCAGGCTGTGTAAAACGTTCTTCCGTCTCTAACAGTACAGTCATGATACTGCACCTATTGAGCATCTTGTACTTGCAGAGAAAAGGATTTTTCCAAGGACTCTGTAACGATTAGTGTTCTCTTTATAGACAATCTGAACTGTATTATCTATCACTGGGATCATGGTCACAACACTAGTATACACTTAGTAGATATCATGATCACTAGAATCAACCCACCTACATGTACTACAGTAAAAGTCTGTAAGGGCCTATCCAGACTAGGTAGAAAACCACGTAAACACGCCGTAAACATGCTTGTTGCCAAGGTGAGTGACGAAAAATGGCCGATAACGGGGAACGTGGGATTCACGCGGAACGTGAGTCGAGGACCCCTGTACAAAGCACGTTTCTCATCTACGTGCCGTTTTCGAAGTGTTTGTTGTGTGAGAGTCGATCGGTGGAGGTTTCGGATCGCATTTTTTCTTGCTGTTTCCAGCTGCTGCAGCTTGTTTTTGCTTTGCCGTTTTCATAATGCCACACGTCCGTTTCAGCTACGACTCTGAGGCGACATTGATACAGTCGTGGCTGGACATGCAGAGAAATCCCGGGGTCTGGTGAAGAGGAAGGTGTTGTAGAGAGAGAGAGAGAGAGAGATAATTCACTGACGAGCGAGTATTTGAAACTGTTTGGATAGGAAGTAGAACCCTGTTCAGTTGTGATGAACGAAATTGACGACCTGAAGGCCAAAGCCAGGGACTTTTACTGGAAATACACGGCGGCCACAACCATTAGTTCATCAAGCGATGCTATAGCGGGCCTCGACCGTGACGCTGCGCTGCCGCGAGAGTGTGGCCAAATTTCCGTACCTGGAACAGAGTTCAGCTTCATCAGGGTGATGTTCCATGCGCTCGGCGTCAGTACTGCCATCGCTGGGCCGCCACTCGTTTTTGTAGCTAGCTGGGTAGGTCTAGACCAAGCCAGGGAGTGCTTGCCTGGTGTACAACACGCTACAACTACAAGTCACTTGTGTGTCTGCCAGTAGTGCATCCACGGACAAAAATGAACAGGTACACGTAGTGGTAGAGGTGACAGAGCGAAGTGTGGACAGCGCACCGCGTGTACGTCACGTACTCTGAAACGGGACGCCGTTTTTATTACCTAGTGTGGACAGGCCCTAAATAACTACGTACACGTACACGTACACGTACTGACTTTCGAATTATTTAGTGGCCTCACCCGTACTAACTTTCTGGCGGGTGGTGACTTTCAGGTACGAACTAACTAATTACTTTCGGACCTGACTTGTGTGCAGCGGAGAAGTCACTTTGATCTAACATATACATCTACATTGTACATGTATACATGTACAATGTAGATGTAAATGTATACATGTACATGTAGATGTACATGTACATGTATACATGTGTTCTACATGTACATGTACCTGCTGCTTGTGGGCACAAAACCAGTACATGCACATACTGTTTGTCGGGCAGTATGCATGTCTGGTTGGACTTCAACAGACAGAGTCAAAAGAATGAAGGGGGTATATATTTCGGGCAGGTATTTTACGGACTAACATAATTATGTACAGTCATGTACATAATAGATGTATGTATCTTGTAAAGGAATTTATGGTGGACGATGCATAGGGCCTCTACATGTACATGTTCATGTACATTGCATTCGGAAAGCTCGCTATTGACGTGAACGTCGATGTACAAGACTGTAAGAATAATGTATTTGGTTGTTGTTGGTGCATGCTTTTAGACTACGGAGATTTAGGTAGGTACGTAGCATGGGTAGGCCCTTGCGGATGATGCTTTGGATTTTCGTCATACGCCCTACTCATCTGCGGGCTAGCAACTCACAGAATGATGTAAGCTGCATGTACATGCCGATTGCATTGTACATTGTACATGTATCTCATCCGCACCAGTACAGATTACAGAGGCCAACACGAATGAGCAAACCAGTACAGACTACAGAGGCCAACACGAATGAGCAAAAAAAGTGGGAGCACCCTATAGTGTGCTGCGACATACTATTCGTAACGTACATGTTTTACTCACCTTCTATATAACCATTTGGCTTCACAATGAAAGTGGCCTCGCCATAGCGTCCCCCCGGCGCAAGAGGTCTGGCAATGCACCTGAAGTAGCTTGTGCCGACGAAGCGACCCGGGTTAAACAGACTAACGCCGTACTCATCCCCGATAATAACCGGTTCGCGCTCCTTGTTGGGGTCATTGGCTGGGAAGACCTGAATCTCTGCTCCTGTTCCACAGTCGATTCTCCGAATCAGGACGCTTGTGGCGGAATCAGGCACGCAGTAGTCTTCATAGATGTCTATCGACCGGTCCCCGGAACATGGGGGAGATGTGCTGGAGACTTCGCGAGCCACGCGCTGAATGCTGGCCCTTTCGTGCTGGTGATCTGCCACACAGATGCACATACAAGTGCAAAACACACGACCCACAAACAGCACAGTTCAAAATCAAAAAATCCAAGAACAAAAATAATAATTATTATTATGTGCATACACTCAAAGAGTGTATGCAGCTAACGAGGTTAGCCCCCTTGTCGGGCATTGGTTGTGAGACTTACCACCTCACCCTCGCCGTTAGGCGCTGCATCTGCCACCCTGGTAGCACAGGCATGGTGGTGGCCTGGCACATGCGAAACTTCCTAAGCTGGTTGTGTTTCTCAACGCAATTGTATAGCCGGTTGTAACGCGGACGTGCAAACTTTACTATACTCAAAGAGTAGAAAGTAGAAAGTACCCCAAGTGGCGACTGTAGCTGTCAAGAGGTACAAGCATGGAGAAGACACGCGCAGAACACAGCATACATGCAAAGCAACAACACAGAAACAGTGGCAGAGGAAGCACGAAGTCATCAACTCATATGCTTTGTCGTATTTCTAACCATTCGCGAGACCGCCACGCACAATGGCGCAAACTAGCAATACTTATGTCCAGGTGAAGTTCAACCGGCACCACCGGGTCGGCAGACTTACGCAACTACCGCCGCACGGGCCATGTCCTATGCTATGCTCGAGTAAAAAGAACGCAGAGCCATACGCCGCACACAGTGCGCTATCACAAACCATGCTATACTCACCATCACTGATCGTCACGGCAAGAGAGTCGGAAACGCGGAGGTGACTCGCACTCAGTAACAGGAAAGTCAGACTAGCAACAATTACATGGCCACGGGCAAAAACGATGTTGATGCCATGACGTGGACGCGCTGACAAGTAAAAAGGAGTCATATCCATCTGGGTGCCCTGGAGAAGTGTTATTGTTGTGGAAGAAGACCCTCTATTTTTTACTGCATCAACGTGCAACGGCGATTCACATCCTTATGTCTTGCTTTCTGCCTCTTTCCTCGCACCTACAGCACTTTCAACCGCACAAGGTGTCGTAGCGGTTCAACTGGGCAAGCTTTGCAATGCGCTGCACACGCAGTGGAGTAATAGGGCTTCAGTTCCAGCAAAATAGCAGCAGGGCAGCAGGGCAGCAGGGCAGCAGCTGCCAGTGATGGTCATTCTGTGATCGCATTCTGGCGTGCACGTCGTGCACGCGTGGCCAACTCTACTATACTCTATAGTCTATAATTATAGTATTCTACGTACGTGGCAAAACAGTGAGCATGAACGAAACCTGCACCACGATGAATGGAGAGGGTTACTCCTGGGGATTCCCCCACACGCGCCCAGATTCCCTCATTCACTTCTAACGCAGCACACTGAACACTGCTATTAGGCCACGGTAAAAATTATCTTTGATTCTCAAGTACGCGCGCACCGATTTTTGGCGGCGCACCGACGATTTTTTTATTTCTATGCATGCATAAGCGCACATGAAAACGGTGAATGCGAAAGACATGAATCAGGGAGTAGTAAAATACCGGTATTTTTCTACTCCCTGGCCTGAATAATAAAATAATTATAATGAACCTGTGACGTACGTACGTGTGACCCTATTTTTGGAAATAAAAAAATTGTGGGAAATAAAATAACAAATCGCTCGCTCGCACCGATTTTCACAGGCCCATGACCTGAGAATCAACTTTATTTTTTACCATGGCCCTAGAGAGGTTTTGCAATTTGCAGAGCGAACGTTCGCAATGATTTTCGCGTTCCGGGTTGCGAAAACTATTGCGAACATTCGTGCGAAATTTGTGTTTTGCATGTTTTTCGCTCCAAGAAATCCGCGATATTCATGTTAAAACAAAATGGCGTCACGATGTATTGAAAGTGGTATAGTTGGTGGTACGAGTGTTCAAAACCATTTGAACTTCATACTGTTCGTCTTCTTTTTGACATGCTCTCTTTCCATCGTCCTTAGCTTTTGTTTGTTGAGAGCTGTTTTGGCTTTCTCCTATACCTCTGGGGGATGCCAAGTGATGGTTATGAGAGGCTGGTGATGGCTTTGAGCGAGAGTTTGCCGATCGGCGTCGTCCTCGCTATAGCGAAGAAAATACTAGTTACTGCGCACCTGGCAGATATCACAACACGTCGGAGCGTCCAGGAGCAAAGGAATCTTGGGTTTTCACTGGAATCTAGTTCCTCCAGCATCGTGTAGCCCACCGTTGGTGGATGGCGGTCCAGAAAGGTCGAACCTGGTCTTCTGCAGCATATCGCAGTCCTGCGAGGCACACTGAATACGCCTGTCATGTATTCTACAAATAAAAATCACGAAGTAGTGGACTTTACAGTGATGAGTCTATCCTGTATGCTGCAAAAGACGCAGGAAATGTGACTGGTGTCTGTACACTCAGTGACTGGACGCCAACACCCCAGTCTTCTCCTGCAGGATCTGTTTGACATTGACATTATGCAGTAGGCCGGCATTGACCTGGTTTGGCAGCTACCCGTAATAGTATCTGCCTGGTTGGATGTAGCAGGTTGGTGCTTGCTCGTCGTCCAGTCCGGAATTTTCTTGTAACTCACGGTGGAGTACGCGCAGAGTACATAACCCCCCAGACTGTGCAACTCCCAGGCCACATGCCCTGCCGTCCCGACAGAATTTCAAGTTGACGTCATTATTTATGACGCAATGCAATCCTCCTTGCACCAGTGATTTACAAAATGTGTACGGGTACCGGGTGTCAACGCATCACACGTTTTTCTTTGCAATAATTATTTGTACAGGATCGATCGGTTTCGGCAAGAGTAGATAAACAAGAGTGTGCAACTCGCGGATGGGTTGGCCCACGGCGGAATATTTTGTTGACGTAATCTTTTCGACGACGCACGCGCTGCGAGCCTTTTGGAGAGGTTTCTCTCGTGCACTTGGCGGGGCTTTACACTACAAGGTCGGTGCCCAGCACGTGCTCTCACACTGCTCTGCGGCAAAGTCCGCGTTTCCCTGAAAAAAGGTGACGTCAACAAAGAATTCCGCCGTGGGCGGGGTATCTGCAGATTGTGCAGGAGAGATCCGGAGTTGCACACTCTTGTTTATCTACTCTTGGTTTCGGTCAGGGAGTTGTATAGACCCTCTGGTTTCGGTCAACCACAGGTTCCGGATTCCTCTGATAATCCGGCCGTGTACAGTACGCATTGCATCATCAAAATGACGTCAACTTGAAATTCTGTCGCGACAGCACCCATAGTGCACTCTGGGGGGTAATGTACTCTTGGTCGTACCAAGAGTACATAACCCCCCAGAGTGTGCAACTCCACTATGGGTGCTGTCCCGACAGAATTTCAAGTTGACGTCATTTTGATGATGCAATGCGCACTGTACACGGCCGGATTATCAGAGGAATCCGGAACCTGTGCACGTATGTGGTGGACCGAAGCCGATCGATCCTGTACAAATTATTGCAAAGAAAAACGTGTGATGCGTTGACACCCGTACACATGTTGTAAATCACTGCTGCAAGGAGCATTGCGTCATAAATAATGACGTCAACTTGAAATTCTGTCGGGACAACAGGGTATGTGGGAGTTGCACACTCTGGGGGGTTATGTACTCTTGGTCGTACTCGAAGGCATATATGCATACAGTACTGTAGCGAGATCTTCCGGGCGTCATGCGTACTCAAGGGCGCTGAAATTCGACGCAGTGCTTTCACGAGAAAACGACAACGCAATTTCGGGCATCATGCGTATGTACGCACGCTGAAATTGACCCAGTGCTTTCACCACAACGCCCGGAAAGTTTCAAGTTTTCGATCTCGTATTTCTTCAACAACCCTAAAGGCCTAATAAATCCAAAAAAAGCATAAAGCCAAAAAAGGCAATGGCCCCCGGCCCGCGGCCCGGCGGATAATGCTAGCATATCGAGCATATTTAGCACTTTCTGGAGACTAGCACTGCGCTAGCATGATCCGGCAAGTAACTTAGTTTTGCTGAACACCAGCATATTCTTGCGAAAAATAGCATGCTAGCTAGCTAGCTACTGACTACTGTATTGCAAAAAATATAATGTGGAATTTTTGTGAGAATTCACAATGCCCTCGACCTCGCGAGCACTATTATTTTGCCCTTGCCTGCGGAGTAATAATAATTCGGTGCTTCTTATACATGTAACTGTTCTGTTTCGTAGAACATGACTTACATACATGCTGATGTACATGTATGCTGCATGTACCGGTACGCGGTATGCTGTTATCGATCTGCAACAGGGAGTCGTAAAATACCACGGTACTATTTTACGACTCCCTGATCTGCAACAGTAGTAATCTACACCATTATTTCCATTTTTCCGAAGCAGAACTCAAGCATGTAACAGTCCTTGTTATCGATTGCATCCAAAGTGTTGGAAAGGATAGTCCACGAGCAACTCACACGATATCAAACACCCTAGTAAAATAAATAAAATAATAATATTAATATCTAGTCCAGAGCAATTTTTTCCCGCCAACTCAGTTCGGCTACAGATCCCACCACTCCATATCCGACGCTAGCTGTGGAAGGTATCTGTGAGGCCCGTATGAATAAACTCAACACAGGTGTAGCCTTTGTTGATATTTAGAAAAGTGATCCTGTCAGCTTTTCTATTATTGTGTTCACATGGCAGAAAAAACGACACCGCTATGCTACGTAAGTTTCTACGTAAGGTGCTCGGTACTTCACTTAGGCTACGTTAGTTTCTACGTACGTAAGGTGCTCGGTATTAGATCTACCAACGCGTGGTAGCCGCGTGCTGTGCACGTGCATGGCAGACATTAGGGAGGTTTCGCTCTACGGAATTACGTATGAAAATAACGTATGAACTGCACGGAATTTTCATACGTGAAAATCAGAGCTGTTGGGTTTCGCTCTACGTGATTTCTCCACGACTGCTCAACATGCGTTGTTGCTTTGGAGACGCGTTGGCTGCATGCGCCCACCGTATGCACCATGAACCGAAACCGCGTTTTCCATGATATTTTGCACGTGGTGTACGGTGTGTGTACCTTGTGTTTCGCGCGGCTTGAATGTTGCCATGGACAAATGCGGAAAATGCGAAAATATATTTCAAAAAGTCCTACGGAGGACCCAACGTAGGAAAGAGCTTTCCTACGGAAATCCGTAGGGAGATTTACGTATGAAAGTTGCCCTCGCTCCCCGGTGCGTACGACATACGGATTTTCATACGTATAAATTACGTAGAGCGAAACCTGCCTATTGTGTTGCATGCAGTGCAGTCCGTTTTCGGATGTGCATGCGCGAGGAACTTCCTTCTTTGGAACTGCTTCTTGCATGAGCTGTTTCGGATATTTCGTGTCCTGGCTTATTTCGCTTCGGCTCTGCTGAGACCTCTTTTCACGGAATATTACTCAATGACAGGTGAGTTGACCAGTTCCCTTTGATTCATTTGCTTGTGTTGACTCTTTCATTTACGAAAAGGGTGCTGATTTTAGGTGGAATTCAATAAAATTAATAATGGAAAAGCTGACAGGATCTCTTTTCTATATTATTAACGTTTCTGCTGTCGAGGCCTCCTTTTACGGGATACTCAATGACAGGTGATTTCTGAATTGACCAGCTTCCTTCGATTCATTTGCTTATGCTCACCCTTTCATTTACGGAAACGTGTGCTGATGTTATTCGGATTTAGATCCATTCGTATCTCTTTGCCCTTGCCAACAGTGTGCGAAGAACGCGAGTTCACCTTCTTGACGGTAAGGCTTATGTTGCTGCTGAGGCTTAGATGTGTTGTCGAAATACTCATGTTCATTGTACATTGGTACGTTACAAGTAAGGCACTGGTCATGATTACTTCCGGCATTCCGTGCTCCGATCATAGGGTAGAATATGAATCAGTGGCATAGCATCGTTGGCAGTTCCCAATCTGGAGGGAAAGGTTCAAGGACGCATTGGCCGAGTACTAGTATGCAAATTAAATTTGCATATCAGGGAAAATCTCCATTATGGAGAGGTTCATGCCTTCAGTGACTTGTTTGCTTCATACGAAACAAGCCAATGGGTGCAGTCTCGTCTCGTGAAAATCTCGTACGATCG